ATAATTATTGAATCATGGCTCGGCGCTAGCGCAGCGTTATTGTGGGATGCTCCATACAAATTGTACGGCCAAGGGGATTTTTATAGTTGTTTGGCGCTTGACACGCCAATTTATGGACGGAAGTATGCTTTCTTTTTAAATTCGACAACGTGGCATTCTAGCAGCGAAAAGACCTCTACAAGAATTNTTTACATCACGTTTTGCATATTGCTCTTAAAAAGTTGATAGAAGTACTTGGTTGAGATCTCCCTCCCCAGTGAGTATCACATGATTAATCAAATGACTATCACTGTTCTTGTAGGGACCTTGTAATACAGATTAATTATTTTACTAAATAGTAAAGAAAAGAGAAACAAAAATTTAGTGACTCTTTCTCGTCAATGAGCCCTTTTTGCGACTTTCTGTAAATCCTCAACGGCAATACCGTGGCCAGCTCACTCCCGATTTTCGACCAGATTTTGCCATATTTAACTAGCAATTGATCATATACTCGAACTGAGCACATAGTTATTAGGGGTCCCCATGAAAAGTGATAAACTATTGATAAACTTTATAAAATTATAAATTTTTCATTTTGATAAATCAACTGTCAAACTTTGTATGGACATCTATTTAACCAAAGTTTATCACTCTATCAAATGATTTTGGTGGCTAAACGTCATGAACGAAATACACAAGATCACGTAAGAACAAGAGAGTGAAAAAAGTCGATTTTTTTAGCGGGTTCTACGCCATCTTGTTTCACTGGAAAACGAGCGAAAAGTAAACAAAGCAAAGAAAACAATGAAAACCAAAATTAGCCAAAATTATTGTCAGCCACTTTAAACGCACAATTTAGGTAAAATGATGCAACAAAATGCTATAAAATGTGTTGTCATTTTGAATTAACTCTTCTTTACTTGAATAAAAGTGTAAAATAGTGGTGCTTGTTATGTAAACAAACGCTCAGCTGACGAACCCGCTTTTGCAAACTTTTTTCTCAAAACCAGTTACAAATACAACGTCGCGTTCTTACGTGATCTTGTATTTTTGGTTCATGGGCTAAACGTATTAATTTCAACAAAACTCAACCCTGACAGACCGCTATAAAAAGCAAATTAGCAGAATGGACGAGGTAAGAATGAAACGTAACTCGCCAGATAAGTTAAATAATAAACAATTTTGTGCAATTATTTACCAAGGTGCGTTATGAAAGAATGCGGATGAAATGATAAATTTAAGCAATTTGTCCCTTAGTCACTTTAGATGTATACCCCTATTATTTGGTAATTTTACTGGATTTAGACAGAAAAGTACGAGGTCAGGCCGAATGTGTTGATTGCGACATGTTGCTAGGAATATCGAAAGCAACAGCCTTTTTTGTTTAATGAAATTCTTCTGGTATGGCAACATGTGTACCTTCGGTTTTTTTTTAATTTGCTTTACCTTGACATTCTGCATACGCTTCGGAAGTTTGACAATTCAGCACAGTTTAATTTGCAGAACTCTCGAAGACTTTCATTTTTAACAAATTATAATAGTTCTGCAAGTATACATTGAAAATGTCCGAAAATAATGGTAAGCCCATAAAGCCAATGGAAAAGTAAGTTTTTCCAACGCACGTTATCTAAATGCATTTATGTGCCGAAATAAAAGTATGTAGGAACAACGGGCGGCACATACAGAGAAGCAGAGAAAAACTTGCGAAAATTTCTGGAAGTATAAACCGGCTGTTACACGTTTTGCCTTTATTCCTACAGATACCTCTAACGAATCGAACAGCGTTGGAAGCGATTCAATCCTACAATCCTCGCGGTTAACCGGTGGCGGTGTAAATCCTGTTCTACGTTCAGGGGTATTGCGCCCCTCAGTGCTCGGTTCATCAGTTTTGGGAGCAGCAGCATTAGCCAATAGCAATAACAATTCCCTTGGTAATGCCAATGCGTCTTCCAATTCAACAGCCACAGTCAATAATGTGGACGGAGACGAAGAGGATTCCGTGAGCAGTACAACCAATCATAATCCTTTTATGCGGGAACAGAAAGACGATGATGAGGAGGCAGAAAATAATGAAGCAAGTGCTGATGAAGGTGCTGTTGGTGGCGACGCAGCAAATGATAGCGAAACAACAGATGATAAAAAAGCGGCAGACGATGATGAACCGGATGAAGTATGATGTGGATGCTTTATTTATTTCGCTAGTAATTCTTTCATACATATTTTGTTTTAAAGCGCACGGATCCTTTAACATTGTTGCGAAAAAATGGATTAGAAAGAGCAAATCTTTTTGCTGCCGCCAAGAACTCGATACCATTGGTGGAAAAATCCGGCTTTGTATTTGGCCAAAATGTGCATGAACGCGTTGTAGGGGTAATGCTGATTTTAATTAAATTTCAATTATATTTATACATAAGTTTTAGGCATGATTCAAGAATGAATCATGCGTCTTATCAATATAATGTTCTAAAAATGTTAAAAATTGTGTGTATTTCCAAAGGAAAATGTCAACCCAGAGGGAGCAGCGAAATCGGAAAATGCAGACGCCGGTTGCTCTACTTCTGCTGAATTGCTGTTCTCAAGTGTCATACAAAATGCGGCTAAAGCCGGTGAGAGTGACAAAGGTGCTGCACCAAAAGATAATGAAACAAAGACACTTACTGATGTGGCGCGTGAGTACGAGGAGAGTCGCGCTCAGAAACGGAAATATGAAGAGGTAGAAACGTTCACGGGTGAAGAAAATGAAATTAATATTGTTGATGTAAGTTTCATCAAATAATCAGAGTAATTTAACCCTGATACCTTAATATGTCTCATCACATAAACTTTGTCTCGATGCAGGTCAATTGTAAGTTGTTTGCCTTCGTCAACAGCAACTGGGAGGAACGCGGACGTGGAAGTTTACGTTTGAATGATTCAAAAAACGAACAAGAGTGCTCACGTGTTGTTTTTCGAACAGCGGGTAACCTTCGTTTATTGCTGAACACGAAAGTTAGTTGATTATTGGCTCAATTTAGTATTAAATCTAGCTGAAGACAAGAAGGTTTATTTTATAATATTATGATTAAACTTTTTAATTTTGCTAATATCAGGTTTGGGCCGGCATGGTTGCTCAACGTCCCAGCAACAAATCACTACGCCTTACTGCCATGGATAATACTGGCAAAATCAAAATCTTCTTAGTGATGGGACGCCCTGCAGATATGTCATTGTTGCATAAAGAGCTGATAAAACGAATCGAACTGCGAAAAGCTTCGCACCCTGAAGAATGTCGAGCACCAGCTGAAACGAAAAACGGTGTCGAATCCGGTGCTAATCACGAGGAAGAGGCAAAAGAAGCAGAAGCTACAGCTGTACCGGAAAACGA